TTTTTTTTCAAAGTGTTAATTTAATTGAATTAGTGAAACATTCAAAAAAAAAACATACGAAATTTATTTTGAAAGGATGTTAATCAAAAGTAACACATTCCTTCAAAATAATGAGTTTTGCTGTTGTTCCATGCATACGGTATTTTGCATTTTGTATTTAAAATCGGTACCCATGTCGGTCGGTCCGTTCACATTATTGGTAATCGAATGAGAATCTAGCATTGAGTCGATTTTGTTAATTAAAGAATAAAAATTGTATATATATGTTCACGAAATGGGATGGGAACATACAAATGCGTCTCCTTTTCTATTTTGAATCTATCCGAAAATTAACTATGTTTACCCCTTGTTCTTCATTTCATCAGATAACGACACGTGTATACCAGAATATATTCCATTGTGTTTTTGTTAAAGGCCTGTTATGTAATATAACTAAGGTCCTTGGATTCGATTTATCGATGAAATAAGTATTCATTTATAATGAAATGATCTTTTTCCTCGCCATTTTCCTCGTATTTTTTTACCCGCGCTTTCTCGCCTTTTTCCTCGCCTTTTTCCTCTCTTTTTTTCTCGCCTATTTCCTCGCCTGTTTCCTCGCCTGTTTCCTCGCTTTCTCGTGGGCGAGAAGTCGAGTTTCCTCGCTTTCTCGTGGGCGAGAATTCGAGAGTAGATATGGCTTCCGTAGGTTTGTGAGGGTGTGTGAGGGTGCGCTTGTGTGTGTGTGTGTGAGGGTGCGTTTGTAAGGGCGATATAATGGTAAATCTCGAAAACAATTTTTACTTGTATAGTTCCCATAATTCCATCAATATGTTATGATCTTTTATGAGATTATTTTTATGTTTGAAGTTTTAACTATCTAAGTTCTGATTAAATCTCCACAGATATATAGTTCAAGTTAGCAGATATATCGATTTTATTTAACAAGGATTCATAAATATTGAGGATATTCCCATTTAGAACATAAATATTAATTAAGGGCGTTGCGTGGTCTATTTCATGTTATGAACATGTGGAATTATTATATGAAAAACTGATTTCTTGTAACTGCTTGTGCATTTTGTGAATATTTGGGGTCCTTCCCTTCAGTTTAAAGTTGATTTGACAGCCCTTCATGCAATTGGATTTAAAAAAACATGAATTGATCAATCTGCGTCATATGTTTAGACAATTATAATGCGAAGAATCTAATGTCGATCTTTAAAAAGTAATATTCTTACTGATAGGTTAATAGCCGGATGTGGCTGTATGAATAGGGGACGAATTGTGTAAAACAATGACAGACCAGTAAACTGAAGATGGACAGATTGAAGACCGGGCGTGACAATTGTATAATATAAAGTTACATAATAACAAAATATTATATATACTAATACACTTTTCGGGTTTCAGAAATGGAGTGAATTTTTGTGATTTTAAATATATCTTATTATACTCCGATTTCCCATTTGTGTAAACCTATTTGAATAGAAGCTAAAACAGTGACAGAAAATAACATCCAAAATCAATAAATTAATGTATAATAATATGCTAATAGTCACCATAGTTAACCTTATAATTCACCAAGAAAATCAAGCCAATAGATAATATTTTGTCAGATAAGTGTATATCAGAACCTCCAGTTAAAATACCTACTAACAAATGTCTGATAAAAAGGAACTATTATTAACTGATTTACACCATTCCAATTTTCAGTCAGACGTCTGTCATACAATGTCGTTCGCAATTAGTAACATCATCTAACACCACAATAGGAACCATAGACGTCTGATTGAAAATTGGAATGGTGAAAATTGATACTATCAGTGTCCCCGATACATAAAAAAAATCAGAAAACCTCTTTAAAATCCTAATATATAGATATTAATTGAAATGGAGTAAAAATTTGTATACATCCGTTGTAGTCGGACATCGAGATTTATCTGCCTTGAAACATTGTTTTGCTCCTGCTCTGTTTTAAAGTATGTAACTTTTGTTGGAAAAAATGTGGAATCTACATTTTAAGGATAAAATAGAATTTAGAAGAAAACAGGGAAAGTCTGTGGTAAGGGAGAGGAAAATCTGCTTTTCAACTTGAAAGCATTGAACGAAAATCAGGAACATTTAGCACCGATGGATTCAATGTGGCTTTGATTACAAGTTTTGTATTATTTAAACACGAGAAGAAAATATGATCAATTATATAAACCATAAAAAAAGTATACGGAGAGCAAAGAGAACTTTGAATTCATTCCGCCATTATACTGGAAGTTATACCCATCGTCATATTGGTAGAGGAATATAAACAAAGCCTTCCGACCTCGTGTGAATGTATTGAATATCTATAGAGTGGTTCAGTCAATCAATAGTGCTTGTTGTGACGCAAGAATATTCATTTAAATGTGTTACTGGATATATTTTGTCACCTCATAAGAAAGGTTGGTCATGGTTTTTTACACCAACATTAAGGCAGCAAAAAACTGGTGCAGGGCCAAGGGTGTTTTCTACAGACAATATCATACTAAGAACGTAAATGACCCTTCTCACGTTCAGTTGACTACCACTTGTGCATTTGCAGCAGAAATAGTTAAGATTCGAAGTGCAATTGACTAATTCAAATGATAATTTAATATGCACTTATCAAATTGTATATAATAGATAAAATAAAGAATAAGAATCAAATGTTTATAGATAAAGAAAAAAATGTCAATTTTGTCGAACATATGTCGAACAGAAATGAAAACCATTTTAATCCGACAGATAACAGTGACTACTTAACCGGCGGTTGCACAACAGAAGCAATATCAGCATCCGCTGGAAGCGAACGTTAACTTGTCATCTACCTACCTACCTAACAGAAGCCTTAAAATAAACCTGTTAGTGTTAGGAATCCCACGGGATGTGGTTAATATTATTTATTAACTCATCTTTAGAAATGTATTCGGCCAACCAAAACTCATCATTAGATTAAAACCATAATAACACTTGGAATTGTTTGTGTGTTTTTGAAAATCAATGATAATAGTCAAAGTATAACAATGGTGCATATGGGTGTTAGAATTATATTTATGCTTGGTTGTCAATAACAAAGTAACCTAAGTCTATAAGTGATTTTCTATTAGGGTTCCGATTCAATCTTTTAAATGTCGGAGAATATAGCCTGACTGAATATGACGACTAAAGTTAAAATTGTCAAAATAGTTTATGCTAGTCTACAAAAATTTCGATTAGAGATTAATATATTACATATCCTTGTAATCCACAATAAACTCTTCCATATCATGTTGTTATAGAAGATTTTACTCACTAAATACTGTTATACACGTGAAAATTGAAATTTGAGCCTCCAAATACCATTGGTTCAGATTTATCCGCGTTTGAAAGTTAAAATAACGACTTGTCTTTTCTTGAGATTCTGTCATATTATACAG